ACATGATTGTCCTAACTTGTTTTCTTTGCCATGGCAATTTATTTTTCTACTACTTGTTACCATTGCTTGAGGACAAACAATAGCTTAAGTTTGGGGGGTGTGATAACTCCGTAACAAGACTTTGTTTTCTATTTTTTAACTCAAGTTATTGTGTGTCTAAAAGTCGTTGTCATAGCATTTTAGTTGCATTTAGGCCATATTTGCATGTGGTGGATAAGTTTTGCCTAGGCAAGATTTATTTGGCTTAATTGATACTGCTGAGGAGGAAGGTTCTTTGTTAGCTGTGTTAATGCAGGAAATAACTAAGGAAGAATTTATTTGCCGAGACAAAAACTACTTCCCAGGGATAGAGGAACATAAGAAGACGACAGTGAGGAACATATTTATCTTGCAGATCTGACGTGTCTCAACAACTGCTGACGTCATTTGCCTAGTTTTATCTTCATGTGCAATCATGCCTTTCAATAAAATTAACCACATCCAGCCGCTTTTCCATTCATAACATGGGTAAGTCAACGATGGTATTTAGGGAATTTCTAAGGATACAAAACCCTGAAATTCCCATTATAAATACCTCATTATAGCCGCCCAGAGAGAGATGAGAGGAGAGAATTTACCTTAGGCGTGGAGTAAGCAGCTGTAGCACCTTATTTTCCACCGTTCCCCTACTCGACCGTCCTTGGTGCCCTCCATAGTCAAACTTCATCAGAGCAGCGGCTATGTCCTCGAGAGAGACTGGTCATTGGACCAAGTGTGCTGGTGGTCAGAATATCGTGGCAAAGCTCTGTTTGGGATTGTTTCTTCCTAAGTTCTTAATTTTGATTCTTAAAAGGGCTTGTACTTAAAGTTTAACTCTTGGATGATATTTTCCGTACCATGAATTGCTTTACTTGGTGTTTGTTATGATTTTGATGAACGTTGTTTGATGTTTTTGAATGAAGAAGTTTGTTTATACTTAATATTATTTTGTTCATCATTTTAATATTTTGCTTTGACACTGTAAGAGTTTTTGAGAGATTACTTGGTGCCTAGACAAAACATTCCTATACTTTGTAAGAGCTTTCGAGAGATTGACATTCTTCTAGGAATAAATGCCTAATATCGAGAGAGTTAGAGAAGATCTATGTGAACAATGGGACTGATTCGGGATGATGAGGTTCTAATCTGCCTTTGAGATAAGGAGAGGGTTTTATTTGACTAAAAGGGGTAGTTACTTGAGTAGGATAGGCAATGAATGCAGTTTACGTTGAGGGGTATCGCCGCAATAACTGTTTGACAAACAAAGGGTTGTAGTTCACGCCAAGTAGTATTGCTATAAAAACTGTTATTGAATACTCCAGTAATCATGTCGGGTAATTTAAGTATAGCATACTAATTCATTCTAGACGTAATATAATTTTTCATCTTAGCAAAACCAACCTAAATGTTCCGTAAAAAAGTCTGTCTATGTGAGGTTTCTCTGAATATATTGAACCCAACACTTTTAATTGCTTTAATAATTCTGATTCGTTTACTTTTGTAATTTTTTCTTGCCTCGACTAAACTTTTCTGCACAATATTTATTGCTTAGACAATACTTTTCCATTCATTTATTTCTGTTAGTATTACTTGTTTTGTTTCGACAAGAACTTCAGAACTAGTTCATGATACCTAGTTCTAGCTATAGCAAAACATCAATAATTCCCACCAATCCCTGAGGAGACGATAACTCTACTTACTACTATATTACTTGCATCGATTGTGTACATTTGCACAGATTTGCTTGCCTTAGCTTATACATTCACAAGAGATCACCCTCTATTTTATTTCATTTTAGTCCCAAATACCATTTATGGGTTTATTGTGTTTCTAATGCTTGTATTGTATAAGATTCGCATTCTGCACCATGGTTATTGCTTTGTTTACATTTATTATAGAGCAATTACTGTTCTTATGACTTAATCCCTATTTTTTTATTTAGCTTTATTGTGATCCTTACTATTCTGTGTTTAAATAATTTAATTCTTGCATAATTTGATTAATATTTCTTTTCATTTTCCCCATGAATGTATATTTATATAAGTTTTTTTATTTATGTACGTACATATTATAACATATTATATGTGTATATATTTATTTAATATTTCTTAACCCTTGTATATCTATGTATATATTATTTATTTTATTTTATTTGATTTGATCTTATTTATTTATTTTATGAAATGCCCAATTGTCAATATTTTTTATCTCTTGTACTTGATGTTAATATTTTTTTTATTTTATTCGAATATTTTCAAGAACCCTATATCATAGAATGGGCATGAAATGCACAACTTTAAATAAGTAATGCGATTCGAGACGACATTCGAATGATAAGTGAATTTGAAATAAATCGAGTTTATTTATATTAACAATATTAATCAAGTTACGCTTTATTTTTTATTTGATAGTGGTGTAAATTTCTTTAAAATGATATGTTATGTTGTTTCATGAAATTACCAATAATTTTAGTTCGATTTGTGATCTTTGATAACAATGAGGAAGGAATATTCTTTTATAGACGAGAAATAGATGGGATAGCCTTCCCGTTGGAAGATGTGTGAATCCTATTATTTCTTTTCAAAATAAAAGGATTTTCCCTGTTAATTAATTTGAAACAAATTAATCAATATTCAATAAATAGATCATAATTTAATTTTTATATTTGAATTTATAGTTTCCACCATTTACGATAAATTATAAGTGGTTAAGGACCAATTTTGGGGGCTGTGGGGGTGTTTATCCTTCCCTACGCGTAATCGACTTCCGGATCCTTAAAAATATTTTTTTGGTAAATGCTTACCAACTTTTATCTTTTAAATAATTTTTTGAATTGTTTAAAAGATGTTTTTAGGTATTTGACCAACCTAACCAAAAGGTCGACGGTGACTCCGATTCAAACTAATTCAAAATCCCAATTTTTTGTACTAAAGTCGTAATTGTTTTTTAAATATAATTTTTAAAAAAATGATTATAACAAAATGGATTTATCAAATTTCTCAAGAATTAAATGACTAAAATTCCCTTATAAGCCTGATTGGTGGAACCACTTTAGGAATGCTTGAATCCTAAATAAATTTTGATGCAATAATTTCGGAATACCTTGCTGATATATCTGAATACTATGATCTTGATAAATCACTTCCTGGATGACTGATGAATCTGTCAGCTATCAAACCCCCTTTTTTTTATAGGGATTTTGTTTATGAAATTTAATCAGTTTGCAGAAATTTTGTGCCTCCCTACATGATAAATACCAAGTACCCCCGTAAACTAATTGGATCCTCTAATTTGTTCCCTATGTGCTATATGATTATCTTATTTGTCCTGAAATATGATTTATTGAAGTTACTGTTTTACTGAATATTTTAACTGTTTGATATGTTTATGAACTATGGCTACCTGATATGTGCTCTCTGGTTACCTGTTTTCAATGGCAAATATAATCGTTCCTGATTTATGGATTCATGGAATCTACTGTTTACTGTATGAACCGATTATTGTGATACCGTCTGGGTAGGATTCGAGAGTATGGAGGTTCAGCTCTGATCAAGCTAGTAATTCCTTATGGACTTAAGGTATTCATTGGCTAGGCTTTAAGGCCCCAATGCACTCCCTTAGTATGGGGATTATATTTTGGTGTACAGATGGAAGGCATTCACGTGATTTAAATAACTACATTTCATTTTTACAACATTCTACTGGATCATGATTTTGATATTAAAGTTACTGCTCAATTGAGTTCTATTGGATACTGTATGGGTATGAGTCTGGAGTATGGAGGTTCAAATCTGATCAAGCTGGTAATTCCTTACGGACCTAAGGTATTCCTTGGGTAGGTCCATAGGCCCCAAGGTACTCCCTTAGGGTGGCTCTTTTGATGTGTGCTTAGGGTAAGTCCTTATGGATGTTGTTTTGGGGAAACTGCATATCAGTGTTCGTTGGAGGGTATTACTGTGGTTTTAAAATATATTTAAATTACTAGTGTTTTTAAATGATCTATACACATTTCTCTGTTTTGTTGCAACACACTAGACTCCCCAATTAAATCTTCTGAATCTGTCTCTCTCTAAATACTTCCTTCATACCGTAAATTCCTACTTGTAACTGAAGACTTAGCTAATGGAATCCTAAATCACCACTAGAACATGATGATGTTTGTCCCACTAAGGAAAGTTATGCCTTACCATATACCTGTTGACCTATTGCATCCATCTGGTAGTTCTGTATTATTGAGTTTTCCAAAGTTCACTCTTGTTACTTACCATTTTAGGCCAAAGAGTTTGATCTTGTGCTTGTATCGACATCAGTAAAGGAGTCATACTGGCGTTGCTTGTGGAGTACGGTGCATGTGTTTTGGAGGCATGTTGGTTGTATTCTATTTTTATATTTGAGTCTTGAACTTGTTTTATTACTGGATATTGTTTAATTCTATTTTTAAAATATAAATAATTTTCTGAACTTCCATGTTATCTGTAAATTATTTTACAGTTTTAAATGGATTAATAAAAATTTTAAAATTTTTAGGATTTTCAGTCTGGGTCGCTCCAGTGACCCTAATGTGACACCACAGATCAGATCGTATCACCCGTATCGTTCTGAGGGTGTTACATAGATAAAATATAAATTTAACTATTTAATTACTATTAGGGTTCAAATTATTATTGTATATAAAATATGAATTGATATTTTATCTAAAGTTTAAGGATTAATTAATATTTTAGTTAAAGTTTAGGTTCCAATCAATATTTTATCTAAAATTTAATCATTTTTACTAATATATCACATCATTGATCTAATGACCAAATTGTAATGAACCGATAATGTATGTGTTTAAAATGTTACATTTTCAAAACTGGTGAGCAAAATAAGATATTCCAAAACAAAAGCGATCCTCAATTTAGTTTACCCAAAACAAATAATGAAAACAAAAAATCGTGTTCGTTTTTCTCCTTTTTTTTTCCCAAATAAACAGAAAATGTTGTCCACTGGATCCTCGGTTAAGGCTGGGTGATCGATCTCCATTAAGTCGCCAGTTCAAATTTCACAAAAAGATCCGCAAAATTTATTTGATTTATCTCGCGATACAATGGATGAAACGTTCTTCGATCTAATGGAGTTCTTGAAGAAACCTACGATAACCGAAACATTCGTCGACATTTTGTTGTGCGCAGTGCCGATATGGCTAGCCGTGATGATCGGGCTCGTAATCGGCTGAGCTTGGCGGCCTAGGTGGACCAGCTTGGTTTTTCTAGGCCTCCGGTCTAAGTTCCGGTTCATTTGGACCGCTCCTCCTGGATTCGTTGCTCGCCGTGTCTGGCTCGCCTTCACCGCTCTCTCCGCTTTCTCCGTTTTCCGCGCGGTTTTTTCTAACTTCATCAAAGGGAGTGCCGGGAAATCGGCTGCTGGAGCTTCAATTTCTGCCATTCCTTTGCAACCGCCGTCTCCTACGGTGAGGGCTTCGCCGGAAGGAGCAGCTGGTACTCTTAGGTTAGTGTTATTTATACCTTTTTAGGTTTCTGTGTGCGAATAAAAATATCCTTTTTTGCAAATTTTCTTCCTAGGCAAATATTATGGTGGTTGCTTCATTTATTTAACACATATGATATGCATTAAGGTAAATATGAATCAAGCTTTCTAATTGAACTTAAAATTTCATCTTATTATGAAAACGGGGTTATGCGACGATTGTTGATAGCTCAAAAGCTTTGGTAGTGAGTTACCTAGGTGAAGAATTTGTATAGTTCTAATGGTTAGGAATCAGTATAGTTGGAGAAGAAACCGACTAGCGCTTCATCCTTAGATACTTTCCTTCAGCTTATGTTATTTGCTTGTTGAAGGAATTTGTTTCTCTTAAGGCTTACTCTAAGGGGTTCAGTTCACACTGTTACTTAGCATTACGGGATTTGTTAAATTGCCCATGTACTGAATTAACCTTGTTACAGAAGTTTTTTAACAAATGTAGTTCCTTCAACATTAATTAGAGTATATTGATATGGAAGTTCATGGAGCTCTTCTTTCAAACTTCATATTCTCATTTTTGTTAAAAACTAAATCTTACGTAAAAGAGTATCGTTATAATTGACACAAACCTTATTCCATTATTTGAATAGATCAATTTAATTTTCTTTATTTTATTTCTACATATTTTTGTTTTTATTAAAAATTATTTTATATGATTTTTAAATTTGGTTGATATATTATATGTTGAATATGGTAACTGATAATTTTATATATTTTTCATTAATATATTAAGTTAAAATACTATATTATAATAACTTTAAAATGTATACATAATATATTTACTTAATATATAAAACAATACCATAAATTGAAGGAATAAAATTGACTAAAATTATTAAAAAGGGTAGAAATGTCATAAAATGAAAATTACCTTAATCTTACACTATCTAAGGAATTGGTGTATTGCTCTTATGCTCTATATCCCAAATATGGTAATCTTTTTCTGGAATCTCACATTTCCCTCAGAATGTAATATAATCTGAACCAATCTGCCCCTAGCGGTAGGCCGGGTGATATTTAGTTCAAGTAACTTATGTCAAATTGTTCTTAAAAAGCTAGCTGATGTAGAATTTAGTATTTTTTTTAAGTGGGGGCGGAACCAGAAATTTATTAAAGCGGGGTTAAAGTATTTTCTATTTTCCATAAATACAATTTTTTTAATTGAGGGGGGCCTGGTAGATTTTTTCTTTATTTAATTTTCAAAAATATATATATATTTCAATTTTAATTAATAAAAAAAATTGGCGGGGGCCAAGAGGAGGAAGGTCTGCCCACTTTTTTAACTGTCCCATTTGGGGCTAGTTTTATGAGAACACTGTCTATCATGTGTCGGTAACTAGTATGCAGTGTCGTATTTAGTATGCCTCAAAGATGGTTATGTGAATTTCATCAAAATGTAGGACTGTTAAGAATTAAGAGAGTTAAAAAAATGATCTGTCTTATGTTAAATATTTTAGAACCATCCTTCTTCTTTGTGGTTCTTATGCAGGCTGATGTCCTGGTACTGGGCAAGGGGGAGTGGGATCTAGAAACCCTGCCTTACCGAAAATATTCCTTCCGGGGGAGTTGGATGAACAATCTGGTCAAGCCCCAGGCTCACTTAAGCATCAGCCTTAAGGTATAGGGAAATGAGCAACCTGAGCTTGTCAGGAAATAGTTAGGAACAAAAGCTTATATATGAGTTGAATTATACCAGATGAAACTAATTGTGGGATTCATGAGGAAGACATTAGAATTATTTGATAAACAATTTTGTTTGATAGTCATAGTTAAGGTCAAAAATAATTTGGAATGTTGTTGGAAACGTTTTCCATGACTTTTCTACAACAGGGTTGAACATAGATATCAACATCGTGGTTACATTTATTTAATGCCAAAAGAAAATATTTTTATGTGGATAAGCTTTAAATGCGAACAGATTTAAATAATCAAGCTGTTAAGTTCTTAGATGTCATTTGTAGCACTTGTTTGCTGAAAAGAAAATATCCCAACATGTTTTGGCTATATGATTAAAGATAATTTCCCTCTTCTGTGTTATTGTTGTGCATGCATTTTCAACTTTTTTTTTGAAAGGTCAATGTAATTTTGACTTAAACTTTGTGCGTGTGTGTGCTTCCATAATGTAGCTGTTTTAAAGTCACTTGTGGCATATTAGTTGCTGTAGTAAAGAAATTATAATCTTGTTGTGTTACTACTGGCATGGTTAATACTGATTCTTGCATGAGTATGTTCATGATTGGGACCTATTTCTTTACAGCGGTAAAGCTGAAGAAAGAAGACAGGACATTGTCACCGAGAATGACTTAGCTCACCTCTTATATTTACTCGAAGGGAAGGAAGGGGAGATGGAATGGCAATATATGATGGAAAAGATGATCCCAAATATGTCATACCAAGCATGGCGCCATGAGCCTAAGGTAGGTTTCTGATTATTGACGTGCTTCTGATATCGGGTTGCTATGGTACGTGTACGATCTGTCTAGTAAGTTAAACTTACCGCGCAAAGCATTATAGTTTTAGGAAGAAGTTACTGATTTTGTGTTTGGATCTCTCTCCTATGACAGAAAGAGAGCTGGGGTGGAATTTGAGAGATCCCTACAGATTATTTCCTGTGATCTTGAATGGTTTTCGAGCATTCTGCATTGTGTTGTTATCTTATAAGCATCATATTCCATAAGTCGCACTGATATCTTTAGAGTTGTCATGATCCTCGTTGAATCTTTCTTACTCTGATAAGCCAAAATGCCACATAAAAAATTTGTAGTTTTAGAAAGAAAATTACCGATTGCATTTTGATATCTGTGATGAGAGAGAACGAAAGCTGGGGGGCAATATGGGAGACCCCTCCAGTTTACTTTCTTCTGATCTTGAATGGTTTCCATCTTTCTGTACTGCTTTGAGATCTTATGATATCACATTCCATAATTCTTGTGCCATTTGATTTATGGCTGAAATTAAGCTTTTTTTTATTAATCACATTTTCAGAGTTTATTAGAGCAATGATGCAAAATTTCAGTTACCCTGCATGTGTTACTTAGATGGAATTCCATGTTTGATCATGCATACCTACTGGTCATATAGCCACAACATGTATTACTTAACAGTGATTTTATTTACAGAATACCCCTGCAATTTACCTTAGTAGAACTGTCTTTGAGGATGCAACTCCAGAGTTGGTCAGAGATTTCTTCTGGGATGATGAGTTTCGGACAAAGTGGGACACTATGCTTTCATGTGTTGAAATCTTAGAGGAGTGTCCTCGTACAGGAACAATGATTGTTCACTGGATAAAAAAGAGCGATTAAATGAATGGTTCGTGTAATTTTTTCACTGATTGTTCTAGAGTTGTAAGCTTCAAAGCATGTTTCTTATATAAGACTATATTTGGACTTACATTCCTTGGCGCGTTTCATCTTTCTACAGTTCCCTTTTTTCTGCAGTATCGAGAGTACATAATTGCTCGAAGAATATGGGAGGATGGAAATTCTTACTATTGTGTGACAAAGGTACAAGCTTTAACTGTGCTGCTCCAACTTTTTATTTTTCTTGAAATACTAATTTCTGACACTTCTGTCTGACATATGGGTATAGGGATATTAGCTCCAAGCATCCTCTGAATACATGAAAAATCTTTTAAAAAAACTGACCATATTAATGTCAAATACGTACCCGCATCAAAACACTAATCCGAGGAACAGAAGGATTTAATGTTATGTGTCAAGGTAGGAGGAGAAAGACGAGAGAACGAGGAAGAATTGGGGAATGAAGTATGAGGGTTAGGGATTGAAGATGAGGATTTGGGAATTGAGGCACGTGAAGGGCATGTGATTTACTTACCATCTGAAATGGAGCAGGCTAAACCTGTCCAAGAAGAGTTGGAGCAGCCCGAGTCCAAAGGCCCAATACCTGCAAAAGAAAAGAAAGGATAAGCTGAGTTTGTTAAATCTGTTAGAAAGGACAACCAACTGGCTTCCTTAGATTTTCCGTTTAGACCTTGTAATTAAATAAAATTGGACTATGGAGGCATATTTTCCTCATGTTATGAATGAAAGCACTTCTTTTCTCTGAATTCTCTCCTTCCTATTACCTTTTTCTCGAATCCTTTTCTATTTCTCTCGAACTATAACAATTGGTATCCAGAGCCTCATTTCTTGGCAAGTTTTCAGTGGGTATGCCAAAGAAGAATCAGAATATGGCTGAAGTTGACTTCTTTGAGCTGCAAAAACAGATTGAAGAATTAGCAACGTTGGTGTAACAAGGCCAAGAAGAAACTAATCCACCTAAATGGTGGAAAAGTCAAGAAAACCGTATTACTGCATTAGAATCCAGGATGTCCACTAATCAAAATTATGTTGAAGAGCTGTTAAAGATTTTAACAGGCAGAAATGGTGATCCAGAGAATTCTGTTAGTGAACAGGTACAAGCTCCTTCTAAAAACGAAGGGAAGAATCCTATTTTGGTTATTGTGGTGAATGATAAATCCAGATTTACTTATAAAACTAATGAACATGAGATTTTAAAAGCTAAACTTGATGCTTATTTAGCCCTTAAGAATAGTTCTAAACATGAGAATCAAATGGGTGAAAACAGTGAATCTAGACCTATTCTGTTGGGTTTTGAAGTATACAGAAGAGGTCAAGGGGGTTTCTTTAATAGTTCAGGGTCTATGTGGCATCGACCTAAAATTGAACTGCCATTTTTCGAAGGGGTAAACCCTAGGGGGTGGCTTCAGAAAATCCTTAAAGATTTTTCTCTTTGTAGTGTTCCTACAGATCAGAGAGTGGAAGTAGTCACTATGTATCTAACTGGTAAAGCAGAGATTTGGTTTGATGGCAATATAATGCAGAAACACCATGTGACATGGTATGAATTTGAAGCAAATCTTTGTCACAGATTCAGTGACAGGTCTTTTTCTGATATAGTAGAGGAATTCACTAAGTTGACTCAGAAGGGGTCTGTTAAGGATTATCAAGAAAGATTTGAAGAGTTACAACCTCACATGCTATTACAGAATCCTACCTTAAATGATAATTTATTTGTATCACTTTTTATCAATGGACTCAGGCAAGATACTAAACACAAGGTCAAGGCTCTAGATCCTAAAAACTTGTTTGAAGCTTGCAAACAATCTAAACTTTATGAATTATCTGTTGAGTTTGAAAACAGAAGATTGAGGCCTTCTTTTAAAAACCCACCCTACCCAAACCCCATTACTAATTCTAAGACAAATTCACTGCCAGTACCTTCCAAGACCACAACATTATCAAACCCTAAACAAAACCTTATAGACTAGAGAAGACAAAATAACCTTTGTTTTAAGTGTGGATAAAAATTTCTTCCAGACCATCAGTGTAAGACAAGAAATTTAAACATGATGATTGAGGAGACTGCTATACCTACAAACTTTACCTACTGATTCAGATCAGCAAATGTTGCAAGAAGAGGAGAGCCTAGAAATATCCATGAATGCTATTACTGGTTGCATTAGCCATAATACATTAAGGATTCAAGGAACCATTCAAGGCAGACCCTTAAACATTTTGATTGACAGTGGTAGTACTCACAGTTTTTTAACACCACAATGGGTTGATGTTGGCATTCAAGTGCTTACCCTTTACCCTCTGGCTATTACAGTAGAGTGATATGGTGTTAGGTGTTGATTGGATGAAATTATTTAGTCCAATTTTGATGGACTTTAATCAAATGACAATGAGTTTTGAACATCAGGGTGAACAAAATGTTATACAGGGACAACACTATCAGTTATTGCAGCAGATTTAAGGGGCTACATTATTGAAAATGACAACCTCATATTCAGCTATTTTGGGACATATGGTAATGCTAAGTATGTATGAGACTTCTAAACCTATTCCTGCAGCTCTCCTACCTCTTTTAAAGAGGTATAGTTCTATTTTTGCTGAGCCTAAAGATCTACACCTACAAGAAACCATGATCATGTTATTCCTCTCAAACCTGAGTTTGTTCCTATCAATCTAAGACCCTACAGATTTCCCCATAATCAGAGGGCTGAAGTGGAAAAACATATTGCTACCATGCTCTCCTCCTCTATTATTCAACCTAGCAAAAGTCCATTTGCTTATCCATGGATCTTAATCAAAAGGAATGATGGTACTTGGCGGTTTAGTGTTGATTACAGACAGCTAAACAGTATGACAGTGAAGGATAAATTTCCTATTCCTGTTGTGGAAGATATATTGGATAAACTAAATGGAGTAGTTTATTTTTCAAAGATTGATTTTGAGATCAGGATATTGGCAAATCAAAATGAAAGATGAAGATATTTATAAGACAACATTCAGAACTCATTAAGGCCATTATGAATTCAAGGTAATGCCTTTTGGTCTCACTAATGCCCATGCTACATTTCAAGCATTATTGAATGACTTGTTTAGTTCATTCCTAAGAAAGTTTGTCTTGGTGTTCTTTGATGATATTCTAGTCTACAGTAACTCTATGGAAGAACATGTTACTCATTTGCATCTAGTTTTGGAAGTTTTGCAAGCTAACCAGTTATTTGCCAAGTTGTCCAAATGTTTCTTTGGACAGACTCAGGTGGAGTATTTGAGGCATATTATTTCAGCATTTGTGGTTGCTACTGATCCTAGCAAGGTGGAAGCAATGAGGAATTGGCCTGTTCCTAAATCCTTAAATTCTCTGCGTGGGTTTTTTGGTTTAACAGGCTACTATAGAAGGTTTATAAGAGATTATGGCACCATAAGCAAACCTCTGACACAAATGCTTAAAAAAGACAGTTTTAAGTAGAACACTGAAGCCTTGAGTACTTTTGAAAATCTAAAATAAGCTATGTGTGTTGCTCCTGTTTTAGCTCTACCTGAATTTGGTAAAAGTTTCTATTTGGAAACAGATGCCAGTTCTGGAGGCATTGGTGTTGTGTTATCTCAAGATGGCAACTTATTACATATCTTAGTAAAGCTCTTAGTCCTAGACATGCTGCCCTCTCCATTTATGAAAGAGAGTATTTTGCTATTTTATTAGCAGTCTCTAAGTGGAGACATTACTTAGAGAGCAAACCTTTTGTTATCAAAATAGATCATGAGCCTCTGAAGTATTTATTGAAGCAAATATTAACTACCATAATTCAAAAGAAGGGATTGACTAAGTTATTGGGGCTTGACTACACTATTCAATACAGAGAGGGTAAGTCAAATGTTGTAGCAGATGCTTTGTCTAGGCAATGGGAAGATAATGGCCAGTGTCTTGCTCTGGGCACTATATTAGTCATTCCTAGTTGGTTGCAGAAGTGGAAGACAGTTATAAGGATGACAAAATGGCTCTTGATTGGATCTTTATACTGACTGTAAATTCCAATGTTGATCCTAACTGGAAATTTTTAAAGGGGATCCCCAGATTTACGAACAGGGTCTACATTAGTTCTGTTGGGTCTCTTAGACTATATATTCTTCAAACCTTACATGATTCACCTCGTGGAGGTCATTCAGGAACCCAAGCTAATTATCAGAGGATTAGATCTTATTTATATTGGTCTAGGCTTAAAGCTATAGTGGCCACCTATGAAAGATTTTGTACAATTTGTCAACAAACTAAGGTGGAGCATATACCTAAACCAGGCTTGCTACAACCCTTGCCTATTCCTCAGCAAGCTTGGGAGGTAATTACTATGGATTTTATTGATGGTTTAACTACTTCATTTGATAAAAATTGTATTTTGGTGGTAGTAGATAAGTTTACAAAATACTCCTATTTTTTGGCATTGTCCCACCCCTACTCTGCAGCTGATGTAGCTAAGCTCTGTCTAGATAATGTCTACAAGCTTCATGGCCAGCCTTCATGGCCATTTCAGACAGAGATAAGACATTCACTAGTCTCTTTTGGAGAGAACTAATGAAGCAGTTGGGAACTACAACCTTATTCAGCACTGCTTACCATCCTGAAACTGATGGACAGACAAAAAGGGTAAACCAATGTCTCGAGCAGTATCTAAGAGGCCTCTGTTTTTTCAACCAAAACAGTGGGCTAAGTGGTTGCCTCATGCGGAGTGGTGGTACAATACCACCTACTACACTGCCCTAAAACTAACACCCTTTCAAATTCTATATGGCTACAAGCCTCCTACGATGGTATGGCAAACAGAGACACAAGTACAGACTGTAGGGGAATTAATGCGTAACATAGAAGAAATTAGACAGCTTGTGAATAGAGCATGCTAGCAATCGCATGAAACAACAAGCATACAAGAAAGGTTCAGAAATGGTATTTGCAGTAGGGGATGAAGTTTACCTGAAATTGCAACCGTACCGTCAAACCTCTCTTGCCCTGCGAAAACATCTGAAATTAGCAGCTAGATTATATGATCCTCCAAAGTCGTCCAAAAGCTTAAAAATTTGGAAAATTTTGAGCATACCTGTGTGGGACTCAATTTCGACATTCATACCTGAATCCTAGTGATGTAGCTTCTAAAGATACTTGAATGGCCCGTCTCTAGAGCCTGTTATGTCATGTGTGTGTTATGGTTCAAGCAGCGGAAAGTAGATCATTATATATAATGCAGTGTGTGTTCTCTCGTGTGAGGGTGCTAAAACAACATATAAAATGCTTTCAGGGTGTGTCATATCCTGGTTTGCAGATGTGTAACCTCCCAGACCGATGCGGAGGATCCGATCTGATCCGGGAAGTCACATTAGGGCCACCGGAGCGACCCACTGTAAAAATAGCGGAAAATTTAAAACTTTTATTGAAACGTGTAACTTATAAAATCAGTTGTCACTATTTAAAAATAAAACAAATTTCCAGACTCATATATAAATCAAAATACAATTACATGTCCCCTTAATCACATGTATCATTCTCTGCAACAACGCCGGAAGAACTCCCTTAATGAAGTCGATAGATGCACTGGTACAATTCTTTTAACCTGAAAAGGTGAGTAATAGAGTGAGCTTCGAAAAGCTCAGTAATACAGAACTACCAGATGATGCTGAAGAACGTGCAGATACAGATAAACATACATATCCTTATTATTTCCGAACATTTATAGATTTTTATACTGAGCAGAGATTCTACTGATATTTCAGATGGTAACGGACAATGAGCTTTTAGTTCAGACAAATATTTCAGATGACTGAGTTCAGGAGATCAGAATTGGTTATCTAGTGTGTTCCCAAAAACCATTTAACTTTTCAGATTTTTTTTAAAACATATATATATATACCCCCATCCCAACACATCATAATGTGTAGGTTCCCCAGAACCATACACCCAACCCAACACATCATATAAGGCCCTGAGCACAAAGCCGAGGAACCTGCAAAACTTCTTCCTTCAACAACACCCCCCAATTAAAACATTTTCCGTCTGTAAACGGATATATCAAAAATCAAAACATAAATCAGGTCAAGTATCATATCAGAAATCAGGTCAAGTAACAGATCAGAATCCAAGTCAAGTATCAGATCAAAATCCATGTCAGATATCAGATCAGAATCCATGTCAAGTATCAGATCAGAATTCAAATCGAAAATCAGATAAAATATTCATGTGAGTAGGGAACACACCAGAGTTTATGGACATTATTTAGAGGGACTAGATAATCTTATAAGGCAGAGAAACACGGATCTTCAAATTACCGATAGAATGTCGGTATTTAGGATCACTATAGGAATATTTCAATAACTATCGGAATCATCAGTTATTCAGAATGTGAATTGTCAGGATCATATCTTATTCAGACAGTTTTCAGAAGTTGTACGTAATCAGAAGGGTATTCAGGATCTTTTACATCCATATCAATTGAGTGGATAATCTAACAACTTAACAACGAAAATTCAGAACCTTAACAATCTATGTTAATTGATCGCATTATCGAACAACTCTTATATGACTAGTTCCCAGAACTAATACTTATCGACTGGTCATTTCGTGTCCTTCTAGGGTATTTACACTTTAATACCAAAAATTCTTATCTATAGATCATCTTCGGAATCATCACTGAATAGATCTTCCAATGTCTTTATTTCATTTTTTACGCTTCCACTATATCATGAAATACTGACGTGTTTGATTTGTAGTTCATGATCCAGAAGAACAATGCATCGTGTATGTTCATTAACGTTTCCAGACTCGTCCAAATCACTTATTAAAATCTTAGTCATTGAGGTTACTTATTTCACTTAGTAGTCAAATCCATTCCAGTTACTTCAGAGTTTTCCAGATTAATTTGTACGTCTCTAAATTTCGGATACATATTGTACTTCTGTTCAGTTCGGTATTCATGGTTGATTTGTTGAACAAATATTCAATTCTTAGTGTTTAACGTGATCTAGAGTTGAGCTGAGTTGAATACTTCCAAAATTATCATCGAGCCAAACTTGAGAAGACAAACACGCATTCAAGTAATATTTATGTCGTTCAGGTACTGACATATCATTAAGGTTGATCGGCTCACTTAAGCTGTGTTCCATAACTTTTAAAGGTAGTCCAACACCTATGCTTATTTGGATTCCTTAATAATCCAATACATTTACTTAGAATAGGACACAAGGGTATTTGTAATTTTGGTATTCATTTTATTCCATTTATTTCAGAGCTCGAAGATATCCAATCATTCTTGAGCTTGGTGGTATTCTTAGGTCATTTCCATTACAGGGGTATTTTGGTCATTTTACAGATCTACGGTATTTCAATCTTTTCCTGCCATTCGGTCTTATTATTTAATTCAATTTTATCATTTACTTAAGTCCTGTCGAACAATTCTGACAGTAGAATAACCCCGATAAATTCTTTCAAGTATTTACTATTATTCGAATATTTACGGGTCAAGTGTCTTCTCAGATTTACAAACGGAATATCAGGAATTTTCCTGCACTAAGTCAGGATCTTAACAATTAAATCCGTACTTAATCGAGTTAAGTACGAATCCCCTAAGTATTTTCTCATTCAGAGTCAACTCAGACTATTCTACCTCTTAAGGGCATTTTCGTAATTTCTTAACCAGATAATTTCGATATTAGCTCTTAACGAAAATAATATAATTTAGAGATCCTATGATTAATTGCTTTCTTGAATACTCTCTGATCTTAAAACGGTTCTCTTAACAAACTTTTAGTATTCTTCACAAACTCATAGGATTAAAAACCGGTTATCCATAATTTCCAAATAAAACTAACATTTCTTATGCACATCAATATTTTATCAGATCAATATGTCTGTAAAATCCTCTTATCTAACTTCCATATTAAAATCTTATATTTTTATAACATAAGGGTATTTTCGTAATTTTACCCTACCAGAGTATTCTCATAATATCTTATCCAAGTACCTTTAACATTTAACTTTTGATGAAATAAATTATAAGTTGCAGATACAGGGCTGATTTCTTTATCACTAATCACAAACTTGTAATTTAATCTAACAATTTCTCAATCTCTTATATTAGTCATTCGATCCGTAATCAGTTACAGAATTTCTACCACATCATATCAAGTGTATAAAATATTCAACTCACCAAAGGACCAATTATCTTGTTCATGCATTATCAATATAAACATGTTCCATAAAGCATAAAGAGGTAGTAAAGTATTACGTCGATTTCTGTGCAATACTGATCGACCATAAAAATTCTATTCGAATGCCTTTGATCTTCAATTCAACTTCCAATAATTCCTCAGATACATATCAACATAAATTATATTCGAAACAGAGCTTAATTGCGATAAACGGATCGAATCGGGTGATAAATTAGTCAAAAATAGCTTACCGGGTTCGAATTTGGCAAAACCGACTTCGGATTCGGATTCAGGACGTCGAAAGCATAAAATATGACTTTTTGGAAATTTGGAATTTTCGGTTAAAATCAAAGTCAACGGGTTTGATCGGTAATTTCGAGGCCTTTGGGTTCGAATTTCGAAAAACGGACAGCGGAATCGGATTTGGAACGTCGAAAAATGTCAGGATAGATATACTCGGTCGAAGTCAAAGATCGTTTAATGCCCGTTCAAAGCAGGTCAAAGTTTTGGTCAACGCCGGTCAATGGTCAACGGGTCAACGGTCAACGGGTCAACGGGTCGGGGTCGGGTCGGGTTATGACCGGTCAAACCGATCATTTAGACCATCGCCACGCGCAGTGGCAGCGCGTGGGGGCGCGTGAACAGTGCCCTGATATCGGAAAATTCCCGAAAAAGTTCCTAAAAATTATTTTAAGCGATTTCGAGATACTTACAAAGCTCGGTTCAATTTTTTGAACGGCGGAGAGTTCGATTTCAACGAATCAGAAACTTTGACCGCTTCACCTCCACACGCGCCGCCGCTGCCGGAGAAAAATGAGGACACTGGTGGACTCGGAACGGCTCAAGGAACACGATGGTGCGGGAGGTGTCGTAAACGGATGACTCGATCGTCGTGAATCGATGAAAAACCAACTAAAACCGAGTTATTACCGATGATACTTCCGATTGAAATTCACGACGAGCGGTGATGATTCACGACGAAAGGTTTGAGGGGTTTGGTTCCTCGGTTGACAACGAACACGATGGTGGTTTCGGCTCGTCGATCGGAGGTCGGACGGCGAGTAGATCGGAGTTGGAAGGAGGGTTGACGAGAGAGGGAAAACTGAAAAAATTTCCAGAAACATACGGGAGATTGGGGGTATATATCATCTCATAATTAGAAATGGCTAAACCAAGAGTTTAGCCACTGAATTTCCTACACTTCATAAAACGATCTGTCAACTTTAAAATTTTGCAATTTAACCCACTGTTTCTTTCAAAATACCAATTAAATCCAATATTTTATAATTTCTTAAAATTTAGCCCCTAAATTGGGGTGTTACAAGATGCGTGACAAACCGAGACGTGTGGAGCTTTATTTTTCAAGTTGGATTATCAGGGCTGGCAAGTCCTTTTCATTCAACTTCTCGATTTTCTAGAAGCAAACTTTCGAACACTGTTTGCGATGGTCTGATCTTTGTTTTCCGATTCGTGATGCAGTAGAATCCCGAAAAAGAGATGGGCAGATGTCTGCTTGTGAGGTAGCTCTTGTACATTATGAAGACATGGGGATCCCGAAAGATGTGGCGAAATTGGGTGTTCGTCATGGGATGTGGGGAACTGTTAAGAAATTACACTCTGGCATGAGGCATACCAGAATGCGAGGAGAACCGACACTACCTTGTTTTCATTCAAACTTCTCGATTTTCTAGAAGCAAACTTTCGAACACTGTTTGCGATGGTCTGATCTTTGTTTTCCGATTCGTGATGCAGTAGAATCCCGAAAAAGAGATGGGCAGATGTCTGCTTGTGAGGTAGCTCTTGTACATTATGAAGACATGGGGATCCCGAAAGATGTGGCGAAATTGGGTGTTCGTCATGGGATGTGGGGAACTGTTAAGAAATTACACTCTGGCATGAGGGCATACCAGAATGCGAGGAGAACCGACACTACCTTGTCAAGATGCACTCTGATGGCAAAAATTACCACAAAAATGTCTCCTAATGAGAGCAAAGATCTCTTGGTCCCGTTTCCGGGGAAGATGAAAAGGCTCGAACCACGGTTATGAGTAGGTAGCATGGTAATGGGCTTGATTGGAAATGGATCGCCGTAGGTGGAACTGTGGCTCTGGTTTTTGGACTCCACTCAGGTATAATTGGGAAGGCCTTGTTACTTGGGGCAGGGAGAAGAGTCGGTGGCGGTGAGGAGATCCCACTTTTATCTAGGTTTTAAATATCCTATACTAAGCTATTAACATATTTTAAAAATTAATTCAGATGAATTATTTGCACCGTAGTCATATATTGAAATGTTACCATATTCTTCCAAGTCCCCGAGCTAATCACATGTTTGACACGCAGAAAACTCGTAGATAACTGCCCCAAGTGTAATTATCATGTACAGGATAAAATACATCATTCAACTATTTTTTTTCACACTTGATCATTTTTAATTTAATTATTGGAACATTTTATTGGTTGTTTGCCACGTTTAAAATAAAATAAAATAAAATTGAAACTTAAAAAATATATCTAAAATTTCAAGCCATATCCTTACTCCCACCCTTATCGGCGTGGCTACTTGGATTCAACCATAGGATAGCAGAAAAGATATCCAAATATTTGGATGGAGAAGAACATATTTATTGGTTGTGGTTGGCGCTGGAGGGATTGAATCAACAAAGAAATCAAATCATGGATGCTGTTTTTTTTGTTATAATCCTTGAAGCTGTTTTAGTTGTGCCCATCTTGCAGGTCAACGTGATATGGGAAGATGAAAGGTGGGTGACCTTAAGATCTGATTTACGGGTTGTATCTTTTTTACCAAAGTCATTTGATTGATATACAAGCCATCACTGCATCATCAATTGCGTGATTACAGGCCGCCGGTGAGGGTGTGATTTGGGTTTATAGTTTGGGATATTATTTTGGGTTTAAATTTTATTTTTGAATTTTAATCTTATGTGATAAAAAATTAATAAAAAATGTCATGTCACAATAAAAATAATATTGAAATAATCTATGTTATTCTGGTGTGATAAAATAGGAATAATTTGAAAATTCAGTAATTAAATTATTTTTTTGGTAAACTATGCAAATGACGATTTAATTATGAGGTTGGTGACCATATGACCATCATACTTTTAATTTTAGCAATATGACCACATAACTATTTAAGTAGTTTCAATTAAACCTTATGTCATTAACATTTAATGGAAGTGATGATATGACATTTAATAAAATTAGTATAATTATACATTTGATCCTCAATACTTGTACATTGAATTAGTTAAGTCTTAATTATAATTTAAATTAATACAATAACCCTTCAAAAAAATTTCTCAGAATTTAAAGGAGATTTATTTTTTTGTCTGAGGTAAATACAAGGTAGTATATGTTATAAACTCTCAATCATTTAATATTAAGCAATCATATCCTACATATATGATGCTCAAACTCGGGACCTCACAATTAATGATAATTCTGTAACTGTTGAGATCGTTTGATTCATGATTCAAACTCTAAATTTTAGCTATCTATTAGCAATGACTATGCAAATATCTTATCATTGTTAAGCTTATGTTTAAATCAATTTATTTGTTTTTTTTATTTGCAAAGGATATGCATTGACGCTCGTCAAAGCAGACCACACAATCTTGCTTTTCTTTTTTGGCTTAAGTTATTAAGTTTACTGTTAGAGTCATTAATGGATAAATTCAATAGAGTTAGGCAAACCATCAATGTTATACCGAATCAAATTCATTATACTATTTTTTTTCTATTTTATTAGAGTTAATTGTATCACATGTCCTCAAAGTATGACCCTCATTTTAAATTGGTCTGTAAACTTTTAAATATTTTAATTTCATCCCCTAAACTATGATTATCATTCTAAATTAATCCTCAAACTTTTGAACATTTTAATTTCATCCTAAAACTATGACCTTTGCTCTAATTTGGTCCCTAAACTTTTTGAACATTCCATTTTTATCTCAAACTATATGTATATACTAATCACAATCCTTGTTAATAAAATCATTAGGCCAAGTTATATTAATATATGCTTGAAAAAAAATTAGTTTAAATTATGGTTGAAACTAACTACATATTTGGATGAATTTGGAGATGAAATTGGAATATTCAAAACTTTGGGGACCAATTTACAATAAATGTCATAGTTTAGGGATGCAATTAGAATGTTCAAAAGTTTAAGGACTAATTTAGAATGAGAGTTATAGTTTCGGGATCAAATTGAAATGTTCAAAAGTTGAAGGACCAATTTGACATGAGGGTTATAATTTAGGGACATTTGATGCAATTAACTAATTTAAAAATGAAAATTTTTAATTTTATTTTAAGACTGTTTATATTTTAATTTTTATAAGTTTCTTTATCCAATAGTTACTGTCCACATTTAATTATTTTATCATCTCTTCAAACTACTTGAATCAATGTGTTTTTATCAATTTAAAGGGTGAACTATACTAGAAATCCGTTATGATAGTTTCCTGTAAAATAAGTCTTGATGTAAAATAAATGTCCAAACTATATTGAAGTTAATTTTAGCTGTTTAAAGGATTTTTTGTTAAAAATAAGTGTCTAATTTTTTACGTTATACTTTTAAGTGTTTGGACCGTAACAACCGTTAAATTTGACTTAATCCAACACTCACCCTGAAACTGCATCGGTTGTCTTGAAAAGCACTGCGAAAGGTCATCAAAATTCAAGGTTTTCCTTTGTTTTTTTCAACGATTCCGATGGTTCCTGCTATCCGTGCCTACAGGACCGTCACCATTGAGTTTCTCGCCCTTTTGAATAAAATTCAGTCGGTGGTGACCCTTTTGAATAAAACATGTCACTTAATGATTTTTTTAAAGGTAGATACCTAAAAATATAACGAAAAAAATATTATACATTTATTTTGAACGAAAAAATCTTTAAACACAACAAATTAACTGTGTATAGTTACGTTAATCCACAAAATAATAGAAGAAAAAAAGAATTGACCCCTTATGCTCTCTCTTTATGCCCACTCATCTTTTGTTGATCTTGGTGGTTATTATTTATCCTTTCTACAACATTGCCTCCTATGATATCCTATTTTAGTCTGGCCAATCCTTTCTTAGAGCCCAAACATTTTTTCAATAAGAAATTGAAGTTGATTTTGAAACATCAGTTGACTTGCAACAGATTTTCATACAGGAGCCATATATTTTTGGGATGAAATGTCTCCTTACTTATGAATAATCTTTCAATTAGTTCATTTTAGCGAAGATAATTGTAGACACCTGTTTTTGTATGGGTCTACAAAATCATTTTATCATATATTTTTTTTATTGTTAATAATATTTTATTTTTTAATTTTATAGGCCACATGTCCAACCCACCATTATTTGAACTCACTAACCACCTCACTATCTCACCACTACCCCCACCAAACTCCAATTTATACCTGCCAGACGAAAGACCAGGGGAAAAGGGACAATGATATGCTAAAGGTGTACAGATATTGGCTTGGAAAAGGATAATGGAGAGGATATCGCGGCGGATGGGAAGCAGAGCATCTACATTACTTAATGGTAATGGAAATTATAGTCCCATAAATAGGCAGAGCTCGTCTTCTATAGGGGGGAGAAAGAAAAGCACAAAGGCAGGGGAGAGTACGAACAAAGCATCCAATGTACTGCTGCTTCACATATTTAAATCCGAATTCGGTGTTACACCAATAGTGCAAAAGGAAGCAAGAAGAAGCGTTAAGAATTTATAGCGGAGCTGAATACACAGACTTTAATTTTCGTTTGCAGTTCGAAAGCCCCATCAACAACATAGCAGACCCCGATTGCATACAGTGGAGCAATGACCAAACGCAGCTCTGCTACAACTGCAACTCCTGCTAAGCTGGATTACTTGCGAATATAAAAGAGGAATGGAGAAAAGCCGACATAAAACTGCTCGTAACTCTTGTTGCTTTGATATGTGTGTATCTGGTACGTTGCTGTGCAAATATTGGGGTAAAAACCCCTTTAAATATATTATAAACGGGACCATAAGCTAATTGTGTAAATTGACAATGTTTTGGAGTTTTTAAGAGTTAATCCATGCTTTAGTCATGTCATCTTTTAATATTATTCATTTTTATTTTATTTATTTATTTATTTATTTTAATTTATTATTTTATTAATTTTTATTTTCTTTGATATCTATTTTATTTTTTTTATTATATTAATATTTTTTCTTTTTTTCTTTTTTTCATATTTTTTTATTTTACAATCAAATATTATTTTCGATTTTATAGATATTTTTTCAATTAATCAAAGGTAAGTAATTTGAATCGGGTTTTTAAATTTCAATTTAAATTTTTAATTTTCGTAATTAAAGACAACCGACAAATTAATTGGTACCGAAAGGGCAGTTCGAGGGTGCTAATCCTTCCTTGACCGTAACCGACTCCCGAACCCCATATATTTCTGGTAAAACGCAGATCAGATGAGGAATAAGGTATCCAATCAACCCATTTGTTTTAAAATAAATGATCGATGGCGACTCCAATTCATTTAACCTAAGTCGAAGCCCATTTCCGGGCGCAACCGAAAGACGGTTCCGAAAACAATGCAGGTAGAAAACTAGGTACATATCACTATGTGATTTTATAATAATTATAAATTTTTAATTATTTTATTTATTATTTGTAATTAAATTTAGAATATAACTTTTATTTATTATTTTAGATAATTTATGAGAGATATAATAAATTAAAATATTATTTTATTCTAAATTAAATTAGTCTTTGAGATTGGAACAAACTTTATCTTTTATAATCTTCCTCAGTTGTGGGTAGAGGTGCACAAAAAATCCGAATATCTGATTTTATGCAAAAAAATATTCGAAACCGGATTTGGGGAAAACCGATTTTTTTAACCGGATCGGATTTTTTTAACCGGTTATTTTAATCGGTTTGGGAAAAAACCTAGACCGGTTTTTTTTACCGGATAAAAAACCGGTTTGAAAAAAACCGGTTAAAAACCGGTTTTTATCTGGAAAAAAAATCGGTCTGGGTTTAAAAAACTAGCCGTTAATATAGCCGTTGGGGGGGGGTTTTGTGACCATTTTTTCTTAAAAAATTACCATTTTACCACCCTAAACATGTATAAATAGGTTGGGGATATATTTGGTTGATTACAACTTTCTCAAATCTTATTACAC